CTATTTTACAAGTTGGTTAAAGGACAAAAAAAAAATGTTATTATAGTCATGGTCTGCATAACAATGTTTTGGTCAATGGACTGCATGTATGACAGTGGTTTCATAAGATTATAATGGACCTGAAAAATTCTTGTCATCTAAGTGACATTGTAGCCATCATATCATAACACATTACTGACATGTTTATGGTGATGCTAGAGTAAACAAACCTACTGCTCTGCCAATCTTATAAAAGTATAGCATATATAATTCTGTACAGTATAATAATGATACTTGATAATGATAATAAATGACTATGTGACTGGTTTATGTATTTACTATATTATACTTTAATTGTTATTTTCCAGTGTATTTCTTCTACTTGTTAAAAAAAAGTTAACTATAAAGCAGCCTCAGGCAGGTCCTTCAGGAATTATCCCAGAAGAAGGCACTGTTATCATAGAGGACAGCTCCATGAATGTTATTGCCCCTGGAGACTTTCCGGTGGGACAAGACATGGAGGTGGAAGACAGTGATATCTACAACCCTAACCCTGTGTAGGCCTAGGTTAATGTATAGAATAAGTATATAAGGAAAACTATTTTTGTACAACTGTACAGTATGCTTGTGTTTTAAGCTAAGTGTTATTACAGAGTCAAAAAGTTTATTAGAAATTTTAAAAGTCTGGGGTAGATGCCCAGCAATGGGATTGCTGTATCTAATAGTAGTTCTACTTGTAGCTCTCTGAGATATATCCATATTACTTTCCACAGAGGTTGTTCTAGTTTGCAGTCCCACAAGCAGTTGTATGAGTGTTCCTATCTCTCTGCATCCACACCAAGATTTATTGTTTTGGGACTTTTTGATAAAGGCTATTCTCATTGGAGATAATAATTGGCCACAAAAAACAATGGTGATATAGCATCGCTTGTATTATCCTGGATAGAGCTGGAGCCCATTCTACTAAGTGAGGTATCACAAGAATGGAAAAGCAAGCACCACATGTATTCACCATCAAATTGGTATTAACTGATCAACACTTAAGTGCACATATAGTAATATGGGTGTCAGGCAGATGGGAGAGGAGAGGAGAGTTGGATATATACACACCTAATGGGTGCGGTGTGCACTGTCTGGGGGATGGACACGCTTGAAGTTCTGACTTGTGTGGAGCAAAGACAATATATGTAACCTAAACATTTATACCCCTGTAATATGGTGAAATAAAAAAAATTAAAACAAATTTTAAAAGTTTATAAAGTAAAAAATGTTTTACTTTTTTACAGTAAGCTAAGGTTAACTTATTAGAGAAAGAAAAATATTTTTCAATAAATTTAGCGTAACCTAAGTGTACAGCATTCCTAAAGTTTACAGTGGTGTACTGTAATATCCTAAATCTTCCCATTCACTCACCACTCACTCACTGACTCACACAGAGCAACTTCTAGTCCTGCATGCTCCATTCAGTGCAGGCACTGCAGTGCAGTGCAGTATATAGAAGTACCTTTTTAAAAAATTGTTTTATATTGTATTTTTACAGTACCTTTTCTTTGTTTAGATATGTTTAGATACACAAATACCACTGTGTTACAATTGCCTACAGTATATAGTACAGTAACATGCTGTACAGGTTTGTACCAAGGAGCATATAGTCTAGGTGTATAGTAGGCTATATAATCTAAGTTGTGTAAGTATATTCTATGATGTTCACACAATAATGAAATCACCTAATGATGCATTTTTCAGAATGTATCCCCATTATTAAGAAATGCATACTGTACATCAATAGATGCTGAAAGGGCATTTGTCAAAATCCAAAAGCACTTCTAATAAAACATCTAAGTAAAATAGCAATAGAAGAAAAATAAAGAATATTTACGGGCCGGGCGTGGTGGCTCACGCCTGTAATCCTAGCTCTCTGGGAGGCCGAGGCGGGCGGATTGCTCGAGGTCAGGAGTTCGAAAGCAGCCTGAGCAAGAGCGAGACCCGTCTCTACTATAAATAGAAAGAAATTAATTGGCCAACTAATATATATAAAAAAATATATATTTTTTATGCGCCGGGCATGGTGGCGCATGCCTGTAGTCCCAGCTACTCGGGCGGCTGAGGCAGAAGGATTGCTTGAGCCCAGGAGATTGAGGTTGCTGGGAGCCAGGCTGACGCCACGGCACTCACTCTAGCCTAGGCAACAAAGCGAGACTCTGTCTCAAAAAAAAAAAAAAAAAAAAAAAAGAATATTTACCAAAAAAACAAATGCTAAATATAATTCGCCAAACACCAAATAATTTCAATTAAAATCAGGATCTAGATGAGAATGCTCGCTGTCACCATTATCATTTAACTGAGTCTCACAAGTTCAAATGAATTTAATAAGATATGAACAAGATAAGAAAATTAAAAGACAGATGTAAACACTGGAAAAGAACAGATGAACTCTTTTGGGGGGTATGGTCACTGGTGGTATTATTATATAATTAGAAAATCCAGGAGTCACTAATAAAAAACATCTACTATAGAAAAAAATGAAAACTTGGTAAAGTGGGCAGATAAAAAACAAATATACACAATTCAATAGCTTTTGTCTATCAACAAACACAAAGAAATTGAAATAGTAAAAATAGTCTATTCATGGTAGAGGCAAATGATAATAAATTTAATAAGAATGAAAAGGAAAAGGTTTGATAAAACTATAGAATTTTATTAAAGAATAAAAACATTGAAAAATGGAATGATAAATCTTATTCTTGAATGAGAAGACTTTTACAATATTAAAAAGACAGTATTACTTAAAATGTCAATTCTATCAAAAATTAGTATATAAACATAATGCAATTCCAGCTATAATCCCTGTTGGGATTAGAATTGGGTGAAATTATCTTAAAGTTTATGTAGAGGAATAACTGCTTATGAATCTGTAACAAAGGTATAAAGATTAGAGAGAGAAAAACTTTCCTAGGTTCCTCTCAGAGCCTTTGGATCAATGGTAAATAAAACTATCTTAAAGTTTAAATGGAAGAATAGCTGCTTGCAAATATATATTTAAAAATAAGGGCCGGGCGTGGTGGCTCACGCCTGTAATCCTAGCACTCTGGGAGGCCGAGGCGGGCGGATTGCTCAAGGTCAGGAGTTCAAAACCAGCCTGAGCGAGACCCCGTCTCTACCATAAAAATAGAAAGAAATTAATTGGCCAACTAAAATATATAATATAAAAATCAGCCAGGCATGGTGGTGCATGCCTGTAGTCCCAGCTACTCGGGAGGCTGAGGCAGGAGGATCGCTTGAGCCCAGGAGTTTGAGGTTGCTGTGAGCTAGGCTGACACCACGGCACTCACTCTAGCCTAGGCAAGAAAGCGAGACTCTGTCTCAAAAAAAAAAATAAAAATAAAAATAAAAATAAGAACATCCTTGTTTGTATAGTGGTAAGTATCAAAAAAATGTTTTTAAAAAGTAAGAATAGTAGAACAGAAGAGAGTAATAGGGTAATAGTTGCTAGTCCAGATGGTTCATGACTTAAATGATGGTTTGACTTACTCTTCCGACCTTATGATGGGTTTATCAGGATGTAACGCCATTGTAAGTTGAGAAGCTCCTTATAACTTATGATAGGGTTATAGTTTCTATCAAATGGATATTGCTTTTACACCACTATAAATTGGAAAAATTGTTAAGTTGAACCATGGTAAGTTGGGGACTCTCTGCTGTGTTGCTAGTATTAGATGCATTTTTTACTTAGATATTTTCAACTTAGGATGAGTTTATTGAGACATAACCCACACTGTAAGTCAAGGAGCATCTGTATATATATATATATAATCTTAACATATGATAAATAGTAGTTCTATGTAGTAGGGGAAGAATGGATTATTTAATACATAATACTGATACAACTGGCAGCCCCTTTGGAAAGGAATAAATCTGGACCCCTACATCTCATGCCATATTAAAAATGAATTTTATAATATAAGTATTAATGAATTAGTGAAAGAAAAACCAGGAGTATATGTACTATCTAGGAATGGGATTGTTTTAACCAAGACTAACTATATAAACAATGAAAGATAATTTGATCATACCAAAATGAAAAGCTTTGATATTGTAAAATTTACCATTAAAAAATTAATAAGCAAATTATACATTTGAGAAAAATGAATATAGAGTATAATTAACATCTATAATATACAAAATGCTCCTAAAATTTATCAAGGAATAAACAAAATCTGGTATTAATATACATATACACAATGAGATACTATTCAGTCACAAAAATGAATGAAATCCTATTATCCACAGCAACATGGATGGAACTGCATATAATGGAAGACATTACGTTAAATTAAATAAGCCAGAAACAGAAAGTTAAACACTTAGGTTCTAAAAAATGTGAGTTCCCTTCCCTATTTCAGGTTAGCTTTGGGATTGGGTTAGTGGCAAAGATATTTTCTAAATGACTACTTGGCTCTAACCTACATTCACTGCTAAAAGATTAATTTTTCTAAACCACTGTTTTTATGGTATCATTTTCCTAACTACCAATTTTCAATGATTACGTAGTGTCTTCAGGTAAAAGTACAAACTCTTTAGACTTATGGCCAACATAGGCTTTCCTCTGAGATAGAGATGTGTTTAAAATCTTTGCCCGTAGTGCCCCAAGCACAATTTTTAATCTTTTCATTTGGGAAAATGAAGAATTGCCTAAAAAGTTAGATTCGCCTTTAAAAGGAAATATAGGAAAACATAGATATACCAAAGTAAATTCCACTGTTTTTCTGAAATCTTACTTTGTAGTCAAAATGTGTTTCATACCTCCACTTAAGTCTTATCACTCTACATGGTAAAATTGGAAGGAATGATAGCAAATATTGATCACAGACACAGTTATCACCATAGTTACTAATAACTAGGCATATTTGCAAATACAAAATAAATCAAGACTCTGTTGTGATTATAAGAAAAAAATTAGATATTTTCTTATATACCTATAAAGCTAGTTGCTAACAATGGCAAAAAATAATTTTCGTTACCTAGTACTTCTTTTTGCAAATCATAGCATCTGGCTTGCAAGTTTACTTCCTGTTGTTTGGATGTCTGAATCTGCTGAGCCTTCAATATGGCTGCATCTGACAACAATTTCAGATTTTTCATTTCCTCTTCAAGACATAGCTTATTTTTCTGGGACACTGTCAAACTTTTATTTAGTATGTCTATTTCTGTAAAGAAAATTCAAAGTTTACAAATAGTCAACATTGAATCATAAAACATTTCTCCAATAATTGATTAGTTTCTTTTAGGAAATTAACAATTGGAAGCTGAGTTTTCTGAGATTATAATAACACCTAACCAAAAGGTTAAATTTAAATTAAGTAGCCATTCTGAAAAAGAAATGAGAAAAAGGGCTATAATGCTTAATAATGCATGAAATCTTTTAGTAATTTTTTTTAGTCTTTAAGTTGTATTAAATGGCAATATAACCTGTTTTTAAATGCTTACATAAATAAAAAACATATTATCTGTGTAATGGTCTTGGTTTTATTACATTGTTTTCTTGCAAAATGTATCAAAAAAGTAAATTTAAATATGCTAACATGAGCTGGTTCAGTAGCATCTGTAAGACAGTAACTAGGATACATTCTATACAAATTAGGAAGAAAGGCAGTAGGAGTAGAGAGGACTTCTAGAAGGATGTAGGGTCTAAAAATAATACATTTATTGGCAAAAAGCATTAGTTAATATATCTTATTAGTATAAAAGTACTCTGCTCCCTCAAAAATAAGACCAGAATTCATCATAGCAATTATTTGTCATTATTCTACCTAAATTAAATTTAATAAAAATATGTCTTTACAACTCAGATTTAAATGTGTTACTTTCATATAATTTTGTGAGAAATGTATAGAGCACATTATCCTGCAGAACGATAATTAGCAAGCTCCATCATTCTTTTCTGCACTGCTGCTTTAACTTACCATTAAATTACAAGAACACACACAAAACAACAATAAAATACTATGAAATCTGTACACCCACAATTAATTGAATAGATGAGGATGTGATCCACATGAAAATCTGGATAGTTTGCTTTTCCAGAGGGTTCACTTGACTTTCCCTTCTCTGGTTAGCCCATCTTGACTGGACTGTGTGATGGGCTCAGCGTATGATCAGATGTCAAAAGGCATCAGCTTGGTTTATTGCTCTTGGAGCCATCAGAGCAGAAAGAGCAGCCACATGGGTGAAGACCAGAAGTAAAAATATATAGGACAGATGTGGCAGCAGAGAAAATAAAGCCAGCAAATGGCTACAGGAGAAGTAAAGCAGTCAGCCAAGATGAGGCACTAAAAAGAGCATAACTTAAAAGATGGTGATGAGCAGGATCAGCAATGAGGACCAAGGAGAGAAAAGCAAAATGTCTTTCCATGGGTAAAAAGTACATCTGGGGATGACATGATATTATACCTAGAAAAGCCCAATGATTCAACCATAAGACTCCTTGACCTGATAAATGAAGATGGTAAAGTCTCAGGATACAAAATCAATACACAGAGGCATTCATATACACCAACAACAGTACAAGTGAGAACCAAATTAAAGACTCAATTCCCTTCAAAATAGCAACAAAGAAAATAAAGTACCTAGGAATATATTTAACTAAGGAGGTAAAAGACCTCTACAAGGGAGAACTATGAAACACTGAAGAAGGAAATAGCAGAGGATGTAAACAGATGGAAGAATATACCATGCTTATGGGTTGGCAGAATCAACATTGTTAAAATGTCTATACTACCCAAAGTGACCTACCAAGTCAACACAATGTCTATCAAAATATCATCATCATTTTTCACAGATATAGAAAAAATAGTTTTACGCTTTGTTAAAGCGTAAAGACCCTGTATAGCAAAATCAATCCTAGGCAATAAAAACAAAAGAGGAGGTATCAATTTACCAGACTTCAAACTATACTACAAGGCTATAGTAATTAAAACAACTTTTTACTGGCACAAGAACAGGGACATTGACCAGTGGAACAGAACAGAGAACCCAGATATAAAACCATCCTCGTATAGCCAACTAATCTTCGACAAAGCAGATAAAAACATACACTGGGGAAAAGAATTCTTATTCAATAAATGGTGCTGGGAAAACTGGATAGCCACATGTAGAAGACTGAAACACGACCCACACCTATCACTTCTCACAAAAATCAACTCACGCTGGATAACACACTTGAACCTTAGGTATGAAACTATTAGAATTCTAAAGAAAAATGTTGGAAATACTCTTCTAGACATTGGCCTAGGGAAAGAATTTATGAAGAAGACACCAAAGACAATCACAACAGCAACAGAAATAAACAAATGGGACCTGATCAAATTAAAAAGCTTCTGCACAGCCAAAGAAACTGTCAAGAGAGCAAACAGACAACCCACAGAATGGGAGAAAATTTTTGCAAGCTACACATCCAATAATGGGCTGATAACTAGAATCTATTTAGAGCTCAGGAAAATCAGCAAGGAAAAATCAAACAACCCTATCCAAAAATGGGCAAAGGACATGAACAGAAACTTCTCAAAAGAAGACAGAATAATGGCCAACAAACATATGAAAAAATGCTCAACATCTCTAATCATCAGGGAAATGCAAATCAAAACCACAATGAGATATCACTTAAGTCCAGTGAGAATGGCCTTTATCAAAAAGTCCCCAAACAACAAATGCTGGCATGGATGCGGAGAGAGGGGAACACCCCTACACTGCTGGTGGGACTGCAAACTAGTTCAACCTCTGTGGAAAGCAATACAGAGATACCTCAAAGCAATACAAGTAGATCTACCATTTGATCCAGCAATTCCACTACTGGGCATCTACCCAAAAGATCAAAAGTCTTTTTATGAAAAAGACACCTGTACTCAAATGCTTATAGCAACACAATTCACAGTTGCAAAGCTGTGGAAACAACCCAAGTGCACATCAATTCTTGAGTGGATTAATAAAATGTGGTATATGTATATCATGGAATACTACTCAGCTTTAAGAAACAATGGTGATATAGCACCTCTTGTATTTTCCTGGATAGAGCTGGAACCCATTCTACTAAGTGAAGTATCTCAAGAATGGAAAAACAAGCACCACATGTATCACCAGCAAATTGGTATTAATGGATCAACACCTAAGTGGACATATAGGAATAACATTTATTGGGTGTCAGGAGGGTGGGAGGAGTGAGGAGGAGATGAGTATATATAACCACAATGAGTAAGATGCGCAACATTTGGGGGATGAACACGCTTGAAGCTCTTACTTGAAAGAGGAGGGGGGCATGGGCAATATATGTAACCTTAACACTTGTACCCCTATAATACGCTAAAAAAATCTAACTAATTAAATTCGGGCAATGAAATTTTTAAAAAAGTACATCTGGGAGAAAAAATTGGTATTTCTGACAGACCTGGGGCATGAGCACAAAGACTCTGGCACTTTCTTTACTTTTAGTTCCTACTCAAAATAGTAAACCTGGAGAAATAATTTGGCAGAGACCAAATAAGTGGGGGTCTACTATAGTCCAGTGATTATGTGGGAATTTTATTCCCTAATAATATCTATGTGCTAAAGTTTTAAAAAGAATGTAATAAAGAAAATAAGGTTAGTTTTTCTTTACATCTAAGAAGTCTTTCTGAGTATTTCTGTATCCATAAATGTGACTTCTTACGGCTGAATAAACTGTACGATACCATACCCGTATCTGTCTGTGTTTAAGTCAGACTGACACTGCAGAGAAGCACACACATGCTGTCACCTATTTATCATTTGCCAAAATGGCACTGCTTAGGTTAGCAAGCTGACTCTGTTAATGTACACTATACTCTAAAATAACTACTCATGTCAGTGTGACTTTCTAACTGACATGAAAATAAAAACCTGCAATACAAATTTATTTGTAAAATATATTCTAACACATGGAAAAGTACAGCAAGATTTCAAAACTAATAGGAGCTACAACATTCCTAATATAGAGTAAGGAAAAAGTAAATTCAATGGAAGCGAGTTAACTTGCCCTAGGCAAACTAAACATTCCTATACCTATGGCACTCCTGGTGCCAAAGATTCATTTCTACCTTTGCCTTCATACAATTTCATACTTGTCAATCATGTGTCCCAGTTTAGGGTTCAGAAATTATGATCCATACCAGGTCAACCTATCCCTGTCATTGTATAATACCCACCTTGGGCCTTCCCTGTCTCAGCATCACTCCATGAGAAAGGTCCTCCTATCCTCACACATTCAGCCTACCACAGCTCAAATGCTACCTCTGCGCAGAAATCTTTTCTGACGGGATCTGGACATGAACTTGATATTCCTGGAACTCACAACAATTTGCACCATTTGTACTGCACTGATCACATGCATACATGTGATCTACTATTGAAGTATAAATTATTTTAGGCCAGACATATATCTTGTTTTCATTCCCCCCATAATTTCTACCACAATGTCCTAGAATTAAGAGGAGCTCAACAAATACCTATTAAATGAATAAAGGCAGTATTGAGCAAAGCTTCTAAATTAGTTTCTAATATACCACTAGTTGAAGATCCTGAATATGTATTTATCTCAGCCATCATTTCAGAGGCAGGCATTTTGAGCCCCATATTTTTTAATGTCAGAGTAGGTTAGACAGTTAAAACATACATCCAAAAGAAAGAAACATTTTTAATAGGATAAGCAAATAGGCCTACTTTATCCCCAATTTCATCAATTTTTTGAAAAATGTGGACTACATTTCTAAGCCTAATCCTGGATTTGAATTTTAAAAGTTCAAGAGCCATTTAGTCAATAGTAGTTTGGGAGTGGAAGCAAATTTGATTTTTCACCTGATAAATATTCTGCCTTGGTAAAAAATTTGTTATCCGAAAGTTCTTTTACTAAAATAAGTATGCTCTGGTTTAAGAAAACTTAATCTATGAATATTTAAATTTAAAAATATTGATTACATAAAACAATATTCATTCACTAGAAGAATATGAAATACTTCACTCACATCTGCTGTTCAATATTCAGCATACATTATCAGCAAGAAAATATTAAGCAATGCTTGTTTCTAGGAATGTTGTTTCTGTATTGTACCTGGATTTTCAAACCTAATTTTAACATGCAACTCTTTTAAAGGAGCTAAATAGTATTGTAAAATGTGAATGGGGTTTACTTTATTTATTAGTTTGCTAGGACTGCTGTAAGAAAGTACAATAGATTGAGTGGCTTAAGTGACAGAAATTTTTTCTCACAGTTCTGGAGGCAACAAGTTTATCAAGGTGTCAGCAAGACTGGTTCCTTCTGAGGGCAATGAAGAAAGGACCTGTTCTAGGTCTCTCTCGGCCCTATGTCTTACATGGTGTCTTTTGGTGTCTGAGTACAAACTTTCTCTTCTTATGACACCAGTCAGATGGGATTAGGGCTCACCCTAATGACCTCATTTTAATTTAGTTACCTCTTTAAAAACCCTATCTCCAAATTCAGTTACATTCTAAAGTACTGGGGGTTAGGACTTCAATACTTCAACATATGAATTGAGTGGGAGTTTGGGGACACAATTCAGCTCATCACACTATATTTTAGAATATTTGTTATTTAAAATGTTTGCAATATTATGAAAGTTTATAGCCAATATATGTTTTTAGCTTTTAGAGTAAGTGCTATTACATAATTCTTGAGCTAGTGCAAGTACCATTATTAGTACTAATCTTATCTAATCAATTTCTTTACCTTAATAAAAATTTTTCTTTTGGTTTTAGTCCTGTGATCTTAGTCAAGTGAATTTAAAATTGTTAGGTCATTATGTCATTAGGAAATCTCTTTATATAACCTTATTATCAAGGCATTCTCATGTTACATAGTGTGATCATTAATTTATAAGACTTTACAAAGTTTTATTACAATAATAGGAAAAAAGCCTCAGTTACTAGATTGATTAAATGAAGGAATCAAAAAACACAACACAGATTTTTTAAAAACTTTTTATTTTAAGATAATTATATATTTACAAGAAGTTGCAAAAAAAGTATAGGGAGGTTCTGTCTCCCCTTAACCATACTTCTGTTCATGTTGACACTTTGTATAACTGTAGTACATTATCAAAACTAGGAAATGGACATTGGTACAATCCATAGAATTTATTTAGATTTTTTCAGTTATGTGAGAAAGTGTGTATAATTCCATTCAATTTTATCACAAGTGTAGCTTCATATAACTACCACCACAGTCAAAACACAGAATTGTTCTATTATCATGAATCTTACTCCTGCTACCCCTTTATAGCCAAACCTACCACTATCACCACTCATCTCTAATCCATGGATACCACTAATCTGTTCTCTACATCTATAATTTTGTTACTTCAAGAATGCTATACAATTAGAATCATACATTATGTAAGCTTTGGAGATTGGCTGTTTTCACTCAACATAGTTTCCTTGAGGTTCATTCAAGTTGTTGCATGTATTAATATGTTCTCTTCTTTTGCTAAGTAGTATTATATGGTACAGATATAGCACAGTTTGTCCTTCATCCATTGAATGACACTGAGTTGTTTCCAGTTTGGGGCTATTATGTATAAAGCTGCTAAGAATATATAAATACAAGTTTTTTTTGTGAACATAGGTTTTCATTTTTCTAGGATAAATGCCTAAGAATACAAATGTTAGGTCATGCGGTAAATGCATTTCTAGTTTTAGAGGAAATTATAAAATTATTTTCTAGAATGGCTGTACCATTTTACATTCCTACTAGCAATGTTTTTTTCCTTTTTCTTATTTATTTCTTTTTTTGTTTTATTACATTAAACTTCATTTTAACCCTTCTCCACTTTGGGCTTCAAAGTCCTCATTTGAATATTTGCTACTACCACCCTACTAGCAATGTTGAGTAATCTGGTTTCTCTGATCCTTGCTAACACTTGGTATAGTCAGTCTTTTTAGTTTTAGACATTCTAATAGATGTGTAGTAGTATTTTGTTATGGTTTTATTTTGCATTTCCCTGATGGCTAATGATGCTGAACATTTTTGCATGTACTTATTTGCCATTTATATATCATCTTTGGTGAAATTTCTGCTCATTTATTTTGCCTATTTTCTGATTGGATTTTTTAATGTAGAGTTGTAAGAGTTCTTTACATATTCTACATACAAATGCCTTGTTGTATTTGTGGCTTGCAAACATCTTCTCCCAGTCTGTGGCTTTTTGGTTCATGCTTTTAACAGGGTCTATCACAGAGAAAAAAATGCTTAATTTTGCTGAGATCCAATTTATCAATTTTTCCTTTTAGGTATCATACTTTGGTTCAAATCTAAGAACTCTTTGTCTAATCCTAGGTCCCAAAGGTTTTCTTTTTTTTTTTTTTCCCTAAAAGTTTTATATTTTACATTTAAGACTGTGATCAATCAATTTTGAGTTAAGTTTTGTATAAAATGTAAGATTTAGGTCAAGGTTCTTTTTCCTTTTCCTTTTGGCCTAAGGATATTAAATTGTTCTAGCAACATTTGTTAGAAGGACTATCATTCCTCCATTGAGTTGCTTGTGTATCCTTGTCAAAAATTAGTTAAGCTTATTTTTATGAGTCTAATTATACATTATACAGATTTTTAAAAAATTACTAGTGCAAAACATTAATTTTGTTCCCCTTTTTAGGAGAAAAGCAATAAGTTATATACCCATACTGGTAATGTCCAATAGTAATATGTATAATGCAAGCCATATCTATAATTTTAAATTCCTAGTAGTCATATTGAAAATATAAAAAATTTTTAAATAAAATTTTAAAATGTAAAAATAAATAAAATTTTTAAAATGTAAAAATAAACATGTAACATTAATTTTAACAGTGCATTTTATTTAACTCCATATATCTAAAATGTTATCATTTCAAAAAGAGGCTATAGCCATATTTCAAGTGCTCAATAGCCATGTGTGGCTGGTAGCTAACCTAATGGACAGTGAAGGTCTATATGTTTTTTGGTCTCCTAGCTGTGGCTAACACCTGTAATCCCAGCACTCTGGGAGGGCAAGAGGGGAGGACTGCTTGAGCCCAGGAGTTTGAGACCAGCCTGGGCAACAGTGAGACCCTTTTCCGACAAAAAATAAAAATAAAATAAATTAGCTGGGTGTGGTGTTGCATGGCTGTAGTCCCAGCTACTCAGGAAGCTGAGGCAGGAGGATCACTTGAGCCCAGCAGTTTGAGGTTACAGTGAGCTATGATGATGCACTGTACTCTAGCTCTGGCCACAGAGTGAGGCCCTATCTCAAAAAAAAAAAAATCTGATTAAGAATTGTACTACTGATAATAACCCACATAAAATGTGTTCCTGGCTTTCAGGCAAGTGTAGCTCAGAATGAAGACTCTGATCTCTTCTCAGATTATAGAAGTAATATATAAACATTACCCAAAAAACCTTAGAAAATACTCAGATTTTAAAAAAAGAATATAAAGATTATCAGGAATCTTACTATTAAAATTTGGGTGTACTTGTACTTCCATTTCAATTTCACAAAGCTCACTGACTAGCTACTATGTGACATGCACAACTCTCTTAAAACACTAAGAATACAGCATTTAGTACAGCAGTCAAAATTCCTATCTCTGGGGAGATTAGTAGGAGGAAACTAATAGTAGACACATAAGTCAAATGGATAAGAATATTTCTGACAGTGATAAATATTATTGAAAATGAAAGAGAAAATTGGGATAGAGAAGAAGTGTAAGGGAAGGCAACTTTAACTAGGGTGGTCAGCAAAAATCTTTTTAGGACATGAATTTGAACTAAGACCTAAATCACAAGAAGGAGCAGCTACTTGTTCTGGGAGATTGTTAGTCAATTTCCCCTTCAGAAACCTGAAGTGCTTCCCTCTTTCTATATATCATACAGTCGTGGCCATGGGTGACTTTCAGGGAGAATACTGAGTGAGGTTTACTGAGAGAGGAGTGTTGTTCCTCCACACAGAGGGGTTGTCAGTGTGTTCTTGCTTGTTCTTTCCTTTTCTGTGTTTGTGACATACTGCTATGTGTGTCATAGCACACATAGCCAGCTACATTTCTGGCTATGTAGTTTTATAAAAATTACAGTCCTAAAATGGACAATTGGCTTAAAAGATTCCTGAAAATAAAACATGAATTACAGAAAATATTAATTATGCCAAACAAATGAAAACAAAAACTGGTAGAGTTGATGCCTCTTCTATTCTAGTAGTATTGAGTTCATTGTTACTGATATTATGAGGTAAATATTCTATAATGAGATGTGATAAGACACTCAAAAATGAGAAAATTATAAATGAGATAATTTGAAATGTGGATTAACATCTTCTATACATATTACAATACAATGACTATGATTAAAGAGACTGACAATACTAAGTGTTGGCAAGAATGTGGGGCAAATAGAGCTCTTGTACACTGCTGGTAGAAATGTGAAAGGTACAACCACTTTGGAAAACTTGGGTAGTTTCTTATAAAGTTAAATATAACCTGCCATATGGCCCAGCCATCCCACTCCTAGGTATTTACTAAAAAGAAACAAAAACATATATCCACAAAAAGACATATA